TTTGGCTCTTTTTCATATTTCTGTTTGGTTCAGATTTCTACAATCCAAATCATATTGCATTGTTTATTGGATGTCCCATCCTGTTGACTGTATGGACTTACTCTGTGTAATCCACTTTGATTCCCAGTGAGAAAGGTGGAGCATAAATAACAAGTAAATCCTAAACTCATTGAAAATAGACCAGGGGTAATACGGTGGACGCCAGGGTCCAATCTTAAAGCCAAGTCACACATTTTCAGCATTTCAATATACATTACTTCTATAAACACAGGTCTTTACATGGATTTCTCCAACTGCCCTTGCAACATAAAAAAGAAGAGAAATGGTGGAAGAAATGTCTAGCCAGGTATGAAATGACAGAATTTTGAAATTATTTTCATAGTATATTAAAATGACAAAAATAATTAAATTCAGCAGTGGTATCAGTAGCTTTATCAGTTATATCAGCTGTATTCCCGATTAATGTTTATAGAAGAATGTGCTGCTTCAAAGTGCTTCTATGCATATTAAACATGCTTTTTATTATTATTCCCTACCAAGCATGTTTTATAGATGAAGAAAGGACTGCAAATCCTTCTTTCTCTCCCTTCTCTCCCATACTAATGTAGAATATTGAGACGTCACAGGATGGCTTCATAAGATTAATCCAAAAATGGACTTTCAAGGAACTTACATCAATGTTTAAATTGTGAAATTGTTATTACTAAGAATTATATAATAACACACTTAAACACAGCAGCACAACAGCCCAAAAATTTAAAATACATTTTAAAATGAAAGGTTTTTTTCTTACTTTCTGATTCCAAACATAACACTATCCAATGTTTATTAAATTTACCAGTTTTCTAGAAGTTATTCCTATAAAATCCCTAGCAATATTTTATTTATAATTTAAATTCATAGACTGTCCTTCTCTGAGTACACATATAACAGTTTTAACAGTAATGTCCAGATTTTATTGAACCATTATTTAGACAATATCTAGGTCACCTCTTCAGAGTCCTGCTTGAGGCCACTTATAGTAAGAATAAGTTATCTATATAAGAAAAAACCATTAGAACAAGCCAAGGTACATAAATAGCATAAAACTATACTCTAAAAGTTAATAAAGTAGGTGCCAGGTAGAATCCCCAAGGTGGCAAACAATTAAAAATATTTAAAATACATACATAAAACAATTAAAGAAAACACCAAACCAAACAAAAAAGGTTTTACCTGCTGGCAGATGACGATGATAGAAGGGGACAGATAAATCTTCTTGGGGAGGGAATTACATCATTTTAGTGCCACAACCAAGAAGGCCCTTTGTCAGTTTGCCACCCATCTAATGACAGATGGGAACCTGAAGCAGGACCATATGATTGGGTAGGTTCACGTGAGAGTAGCCAGTTATTTGGGTATGCTGGCTTCAAGATATTTAGGACTTTAAAGGCCAATACCAGCACCTTGCATGAGGTCTGGAAGGAAACTGGGAACTAGTATAGGCAGAATGAAACTAGAGTGTTATGTCCCAATGACATACCCAATCAGAATTTTGGCCACAGCGTTCATGGTTTCCACAGCTTCCCTGGAATCCACTGGAAGCATAAGATAGAGCTGAGTGTCATCCCAGCCCAGCCTGGATCTCTAGTAACCTCTCCCTGTGGCATCATCTAGATGTTAAAAAACATGGTGAACAAGGATCCAAATTTGGAAAGGAACCACATAATCTGCTTTGTCCAGGAATTTTAGGAGTTGTCCAGCTCAACCACCACACATTCAAGTACCTTGCTTAAGGCTGCTACATTTGAGGCTGCAGTCACACACACTAAATAATCCACCTTCAATGCACTTTCCAACTGGATTTTGCCAGTTCACACAAGTAAAATCCAGTTGGAAAGTGCACTGAAAGAGGATTATTTAGTGCGTGTGACTGCTGCCTGAGACTGGACAATATTAAAATCCCCTGTGTCCAGATTATATTTCTTTTATAGTGGACATACCACTACCTCTTTCAGGGCAGGAGAAACCACATCCCTCTTAAATAGGCATTTGCAGTCTTCCTTACCCAACCTGCCAGCCCCCCCCCCAATCGAAGCAGATTTAACTAACCAGGAAAGAGAAGTGTTATATAAGAAGGTGGCAGCTTCCATGTATCCATATCTTTAGACTGAATAAACTGAAAGATATCCCATACAACTGGACCATTTACATGCCTATGATGGGCAGATACAATGGTGGCAGAGAAGTACTATATCTTTGGCTCCATCACCACCATCGATTAGTCTTTAAAATGAGCTCTAGCCAGAGTCTTGTTTGATTTGTCATGAGTTTTTCTACTGTCTCACTAGCCATCTCTCCTGTCTTATCATAGCCTGCAGCCCCTCAGTAAATCAAGAGGTTGCCTGTGCTACTAAGACCTCAGAAGGGGTACCTAGGAGCAATTATGTCAACAGCCCGAGTACCTTCCTCATTCCAGAGGTCTGAGGAGATCCAGCCTTTAAGCTATTCTCTATGGCTGAAATGATCTCAAACATTAGTTAAATATAACTGTTCAGCTCTATCAAACGCCTTTTTAGCATCTAACCCCCCCCCCCGGGTTGAACTTGACATAATCTGTGACTATTGTTCATCGAGTGGTCACCTGTGCAGTCACACATAGATACTGTTCACATGCAGGCCTCCAGAGTAGAGGTTTTTGAAGCTCAAAAACACTTGAGGGCACTCCATCTCCTTCCTCTGTGCTGTTTTCCCACCTGTTGCAGCATGTTAATGAGGGGTAGAGCACCCCTCCCTCAGGTCTCTCTCTGCAGCTGCTGAGAGAGGTTCATTAGTAGAAGCTCTGTCTCCTCTTTAACCAGAAACCAACTACCAACAATTCTACTTAGTTCTGTGTTTTTGAGCTTCAAAAACCTTTCTGTAGCAGATCTGCATATGTGCAGTATCCACGTGGGACTGCACAAGTACCACGACAATAAACAGTTTGATCATGAGTTTTGTATGCTTTACAGATAACATTCAGTACTCTCCTAATTTTTGATGACATGCATTAATTTCCAATAAATCTCTTTTGGTAAGTCAATATACTTACCAATATTTTAATCTAATCTCCTTCCAATTATAATTGACTGTATCTTAAAATAGTGGTTAAGTAGAGATACTGGTATATATGACCCTGAGAAGCGTCTTCCCTGGCTTGGGATTCAGTATTCACTTGAATTCCTTTCTTAAGGCGCAATCTCATTCATTATAGCAATTAAAGGGTTTTTTAATAAAGCCTAAAAGGTTTTATAAAATTCAGGTGTTAATCCATTTCACTGGTCAAGTTCAGAAGTAACATTAAGCAAAAAACAAACAAACACACACACACACACCCCTTCCACTATTTTAATGTATTGATTCTTGTACATCTTCCAGCCAGGTCCCCAACCTCCATTGGCAAGAAAGGTTTCCATGGACACCCAATATTGTTAGTTGTGCATGCTGTGCACAGACCATGGTTTTATAGCGATGCTACAAATTCTTGCCATAATTGCAGTAATAATACAGAGAAAAGACCCTCAAATAAGACTTTTGAGGAGGAAAAGGTCAGTTATAGTCCCTAGCATCTGGGTAAAGTATGTGTTACTGTAGTTGTTAATTACAGTGACAAAAATTGGGTGTTTTGTAATTATTAATTAAGAAAACAATACAATTGTCCATCTAAGCAGCCTATAACAAACCCTCAGTTTTTTCCCTTGTTTCTTTCATTATTACCTTCTTGCCTCTCTATGACTAATAGTACCACTTTTACAAGGCAGCCCATATAGCACAGAGTGAGATAGGGAGGCTTTGGGCTTTCTTGACTGACTGCAAGCTGTAGCCACTAGGATTACATACACATGTGAGGTATCCCAGTTCTGAAGGATATGGGGTAGAACTTTTCCTTTCTCTTTCCTCCCAATGCCTACCCTGCTATGCCAAATTTCCCCTTGCAGTCTGCATCTCCTGTTTGCCTGCTGTTCTCCAAGCAAATTTACCTCAAAGCCCACCTCCTGCTGCCTGCTTGCCCAGATGCTTTCCTGCCTTGCACCACCAAATGTCCATGCCCCTTGTCAGTCTGCCTCTTCCTCATGCTAACAGCTGCAGTGTCAAATTCCCTCACCTTTCATTGCCTCAAGATTCTACCCCCCCTATATTTTATCTATCTGAAATTTCTGGAATTATTGTGGAAGTCCTGGGGGAATACTGCAATTCTCCTGAGTTTTTCTCAGTGTGGATGGACAACCATGATGTTATAGACCCAAGAAGGGGCAGGGCTTTCCACTGAAACCTATGGGAAATAATTACAAAAGCAAAATGACAACAAAAGAATCAATGAGGAAATAAAAGCATATGAAACAAACCAACAATGAAAAAGTCCCTTTTGAAATTAGCAACAAAAATGAAAGAAAGGAAACAAAGTTCCATGAACAAGTCTAGTAAAGTGTTCTTCATGTGTCTATAAGTTGACGGTGATGCACAGACTTTAAACAGGCTTTAGGAAGAGACTTAGCTTCCGGATGTGTAACTGACCTGTCTGTTTTAAAATTAATAACACTATTAATAACACCATAATGATATGAATAAATTTTAAATGTATTTTTCTTCTCTTTTGAACAGGAAATGATAAGTAGAAATGAAACTTTTACTTCAGTGACAGTTTTCACATCCTGTCTATTAGGAGAATGGACAAATACCGCTGATCTCCTGATTCTTCGTATGGCTGTACATTTGACAATGTTCATAGTGGTCTTTATAATTAGTGTCCCCATTATTCTAACTGGTGTTTGCTATACTTGTGCATTTATAGTACTAATATATCAAAAAGTTAACAAACTAAACAATGATTATTCTAGTACATCGTGGGACAAGGCCAGACTAGTTATTGCTCACATCCTCAATGGACTTGGAAGAATACTGCATGGTAAAGTTTAAAATCTTTGCATTCCTGTTTTTTTAGTTAGAGCTAACAGTGATTTCCGGATAAAAATTTCTAGGCATATAATTCCCCACACCATCTTTTGCTTTCCAATATAAATTAGCAGGAGGATGCTTGAGAGAAGGCCAAAATATTGCCATGGGCTCAACTTTCCTTGAAGAATTCCTTTCAGTGGGGATTGGGATATTATCAACAAGTCCTTCAATGAGGGGCTGTTCCCGGGGGCACTCAAGGAAGCAATGGTCCACCCTCTCCTGAAAAAACCATCACTGGATCCAGGTGAATTGGCCAACTATCGGCCGGTTTCCAATTTGCCCTATTTGGGCAAAGTATTGGAGAGAGCAGCAGCGATTCAATCGCAGAGCTTCATGGATGACACTTCCATGCTGGACCCATTCCAGTTTGGCTTCCGGCTGGGTCATGGGACAGAGACGTCACTGGTCACTCTCACAGATGACCTCTGAGGGCATCTGGATTGAGGTGGCATGGTGGTACTGGTGTTGGATCTGTTAGCAATGTTTGACACTGTCGACCACCAGTTACTGATCCACCGCCTTGCCGACATTGGAATCCAAGGGCTTGCCTTGCAATGGCTTGTCTCTTTTATCCAGGGTTGGGGACAGAGTGTGGGACTAGGGGAGCAGACGTCCCAGAGACACCCGTTGGTGTGCGGGGTGCCGCAAGGGGCGGTGCTATCCCCGATGTTGTTTAACATCTACATGTGCCCCCTTGCCCAGATTGCCCAGAGTCATGGGCTGGGGTGTCATCAGTATGCTGATGACACCCAGCTATAACTGCTGTTGGGCAGCCAGTCTGACTCCAACCCAGATGACCTGGAGCAGCCACTTCAGGATGTGGTGGGCTGGCTTAGACTGAGTCGATTGAAATTGAATCCAATGAAGACGGAGGTCCTGTGCTTGAGTCGGAGCGGGTCGGGGGTGGGAATCCCATTACCGACCTTTGGTGGGGCACCATTGGTGCCAGCCCCGAGGGTTAGGAGTCTGGGTGCTCCTGGATGCCTCTTTAACAATGGAGGCCCAGGTAGCGGCCTTTTACCACCTATGGCTGATTAGGCAGCTGGTTCCCTTCCTCCAATGCAATGACCTAGCAACAGTGATCCACGCAATTGTCACCTCGAGATTAGACTACTTCAATGCTCTCTACATGGGGCTGCCCTTGTTCCAGATCTGGAGGCTGCAGCTAGTGCAGAATGCAGCAGCCAGGCTGCTGATGGGTCTTTCTATATGGGACCATATCCAGCCTGTGCTGAGGACACTGCACTGGCTGCCGATAGCATACTGGATCCGGTTCAAGGTGCTGGTTCTAACCTTTAAAGCCCTATATGGTCAGGGGCCTGCCTACTTGATGGACCGCCTCTCTCCATATGTGTCCCAGAGAGCACTGAGGTCAGGGTCGCAACATTGTTTGACCCTCCCTGGTCAAAAAGAAGCCAGGCTGAATATCACCAGGACCAGGGCTTTCTCAGTGGCAGCCCCATACTGGTGGAATGAGCTCCCGGAGAACATCAGGGCCCTGCGGGACCTCTTACAGTTCTGCAGGGCCTGTAAAATGGAGCTCTTCCACTAGACTTTCAATTAGGGGCTGCCACTGATGAACGTGCCCTGGAACATCTTCTGGCCTGAAATCTAGAACATCTTCTGGCCAGAGACCTCGCTGGAAGCTACCCCTATCATTGGATGTGATTTAGACTATCGCCATTATCTGTCGGTTTTATTTGTAAACCGTTGCTGTTTTAATTTGATATTGTACTTATTAATTGTGTTAACTCTGTATTGCTTATGTTATTTTAACTTTGTTAGCCGCCTTGAGCCAGCGTGTCCGGCAAGGCGGGATACAAATAGAAGCAATAAATAAACAATAAATACATAAATATAAATATAAATCCAGCCAGCTTTTCTGTCAGTGAAAAAGCAGTTCCCTTTGACCATCCAAAAAAGCTATGCTGTGGTTCATTAGATCTGCATGCACAAAGCATGTGGAACAACGGTTGTAATAAGGAGGGATATTACGCAAGGTGGTGGGATCCAACTCATACATATAAAAATAATTCCTACTTGTTGTTAAATATCAGTGTCAGATTTACTGGTTACAACATTGTACATTATTCTTTCAACAGGATATGAGATTCACGGTACAGAAAACATACCACAAGGGCCAGCTCTCATTGTTTACTACCATGGAGCGATCCCTATTGATTACTCATTTTTCTTAGCTAATCGACTTGTTTTGCACAGGCAATGCTGTTATTCTGTAGTGGATCACTTTCTCTTTATGGCACCAGGTGAGCTTTTACTGCTAAAGGATCACAGATTAAACAAAGTTTTGTGTTTTTTTCCTTAGAGATGATCATTAAAAAAAAATAACCAACACGCTTGGTAATTTGATCTTTGTGGCAGGGGTTACAGATTACTGCTACAGCAGTGCCATGGTTAGACCACCATGTCCTGAAGGCCCATGTGAATGTTTCAACCCAATCCTGTTTGGGCAGTGAGTGTATTTTAGCTTGCCCGCGGAGCCAAATGGACCCTATGCAGCTTCATATGGCCCTGCGGGATCCAATGCCCCCTGGCGGCTCATTAGATGAACTTGTAGAGGATTGACATAGCTGACTCTTGGCAGCCATCAATGAGATCGCTCCCCAACACCCTCTGCACCCTCACTCTAGTCTGGCTTCTTGGTTCACCCAGGAGCTGCAGCTATGAAGCGAAGTCTTAGATGGCTACAGAGACAGTGGTGAGGCTACAAGAGCATCCTATAGGATGTTTATGAGATCCTATGAGACGGCAGTCAAAGCCGCCAAAAGAGAGTACTACACGGCCACGATTGCATTTGTGAGCTCATGCCCAGCCCAATTATTTAGAATGATTTGGTCTATGACTATTCTGCCACAAGACAGACTGAATGCTACGGAACTGGACATTGGCTGTGAGGCCTTTGCAAGCTACTTCACAGATAAAGTCTTGTCACTCTGCCATGACCTCCCTGCCACAGTTGAGACAGTGAGTGAACTTGAGGCTCCATGCACGTCTTCTAGTGAGGTTGTGGATCATTTCAGTCTGCTCAACCTAGAGAAGAAGAAGGAGAGATTGGATTTATACCCCGCCCTTCACTACCCAAAGGTATCTCAGAGCGGCTTACAAACTCCTTTCCCTTCCCCTCCCCACCACAGGCACCCTGTGAGGTGGGTGGGGCTGAGAGAACTCTGACACAAACTGCTCTTTCAGGAACAGCTGTGCCAGAGCTTGTGACTGACCCAAGGTCACATCAGCAGGTGCAAGTGGAGGAGTGGGGAATCAAACCCGGTTCTCCCAGATTAGAGTCTGCACACTTAACCACTACAACAAGTTACTCTCAATTGTATGCCCTACCACTTGCAGCCTTGATCCGTGTCCATTGTGGCTAATTAAAGCTGGTTGCGATGGGTTATGAGGTGCCCTAAGGGAGATCATCAACGTTCCCTAGGGCACTCAAGGAAGCAGTGGTATGCCCCCTCCTAAAAAAAACATCTCTGGATCAGCTGGGTTCCCGTTTGCCCTATCTGGGCAAACTAATTGAGAGGGTGGTGGCAACCCAGTTGCGGCAATCTATGGATGACACTTCCACATTAGATCTCTTTCAGTCCGGCTTTCGTCCAGGCCATGGGATGGAGATGGCACTGGTTGCCCTCACAGATGACCTCTGGAGGCATCTGGATCAGAGCAGTTCTGCGGTGTTGCTGTTGTTAGACCTGTTGGCAGTGGTGACCATCTGCTACTGATCCGCCACCTCGCCAACACTGGGATTCAGGGGTCTGCTTTGTAATGGCTTTCCTCTTTCCTTCAGGGTCGGGGACAACGGGTGGCATTAGGGGAACAGCTGTCCCGAAGGCACCCACTGGTTTGTGGAGTGCCCCAAGGGGCAGTACTTTCCCTGATGTTATTTCACATCTATATGTGCCCCCTTGCTCAGATTGCCCGGAGGCATGGGCTGGGATGTGGATGACACCCAGCTCTATCTGCTGTTGGGCAGCCAGTCTGACTCTAGACCAGAAGATCTGGACTTGATGGTACAAGCTGTGGCTGATTGGCTTAGACTGAGCTGACTGAAATTGAATCCAGTGAAGACGGAGGTTCTGTGCTGAGTCAAGGCAGTCCGGGGTTAGGGATCCCACTCCTCACCTTCGACAGGGCACTGCTGGTGCCAGCGCTGGAGGTTAGGAGTTCAGGAGTGCTCTTGGATGCCTCCTTAATGATGGAGGCCCAGATAGCAGCCACTGCTAAGTCAGCCTTTTATCGCCTTCAGATGATCAGGCAGTTGGTGCCCTTCCTCAAATGCAACAACTTGGCAACAGCGATCCATATGATGGTCACCTCGAGATTAGACTACTGTAATGCTCTCTACATGGGCCTGCCCTTTGCCCAAGTCTGGAAGCTTCAGCTGGTGCAGAACACTGCGGCCAGGCTGTTATTGGGTCTCCCCGTGTGGGAACACATGCTGCCTATAGCTTACCGAATTCACTTCAAGTTCTCACTTTTAAAGCCCGTTATGGTCAGGGGCCTACATACCTGAGGGACCGCCTTTCCCCACATGTTCCCCAGAGAGCACTGCATTCAGGGTCTCAAAACCATCTGGCCCTCCTGGGACCCAAAGATGCCAGGTTGGCTATGGCCAGGGCCTTCTCAGTGGTGGCTCTGTGCTGGTGGAATGAGCGCCTGGAAGACACTAGGGCCCTGTGGGACCTTTTATGGTTCCACAGGGCCTGTGTGACGGAGTTCTTCCACCAGGCATTCAACCAAGGAGCCGCACCTAATACCTGAATAGAAGTTTAAGACCCTGTGCCCTAATACCACTTCGCTGGTATGAATCGGACCAAGATAATAGTCCTAACACCAATGCTGACTGCACTCCTCATTATGATTGATTTGTTACCAATTTTCTGCCATTGTCATATAATACTGTATACTAGCACTTTATGTTTGGTTTTATATATGCTCTGTTTTTATGTGTTTTGATTTTTATGGATGCCGCCCTGAGCCTGCTTCGGCGGGGAGGGTGGGGTATAAATAGAATGAATGAATGAATGAATAAAAGGGAAGTTAACCAAAGTAAAAAACTAACTGAAAAGTTTGACACACATCCAAATTTAGGCAACACTGAATTCTACAGAAAATATGTTACACCTCTGTAGGTCAAGAGCTACCTTGCTCATTGTACGCTTAGACAGATAATGTGTAGAAGCATAGCTGTGAATGGGGGGGGGTGTTATGAAAGATGGTTCTTGCCACATGAAGCTGCCTTATACTGAATCGTCCATCAAGGCCAGTAATGTCTCCTCAGACTGACAGAGCTCTTTCCATATAGAAACCTGTTATGACAGTATGTAGGACTATTCCACATAGAAAGAAACTTCTGCAGAATTTAATATAGTCTTCATAGGGTTGCCAGCACCCAGATGGGGCCTGGAGATCTCCTGCTTTTAGAACTGATCACCAGCTGACAGAGATCAGCTCCCCCGGAGAAAATGGCTGCTTTTAAGGGGCTATATGACATTGTACCATGCTGAGGCCCCTCACCTCCCCAAACCCCACTCTCTCCCAGCCCCAGCCCCAAAGTCTCCAGGTATTTTCCAACCCAGACCTGGCAACCCTAATTCTTCAGACATCAAGTGAGCACATGACTCAGCTTCTTCTGAACCAATTTTAAAGATCATGATATTTCATGAGTCAGCTCCAATAGTGCTACTGGACAAATTTCCTGATTCCTCATAGCCAAGTACAAGAGTCATGATATTCAGTACCACGCACACCATCCTCTAGCCTCTATTCAGTGCTACCTTATTTGATAACACAATTTCCACATGAGCAAAGCCAAAATTGTCACTGAACATGTATTCCACAATCAAAAATTTCTATTCTTTTTATAAGTATGGCATACTTAGGCTCTGCTTGTTCCTTTTATGCTCTTTTTGGCAGTACGTCTTACTAGTCATTTTTTGTGTGAGAGAAAATGAGTATGTGAGTTCAGGCACAACTTGTTTTCTCTGTATATTCGTATCTCCTTAATATGTAATCCATGTTAGTAATAACACCCTTCTTGATTTCTTATAAGATCTTCACTTCTCTCCCCCACCTCAGTTACTGCTTAGACTGCCAAAAGCCACAGAGATAAGCCAGGGAAAAGCAGTCTTGGGGCCTCCCTTCTATACCCCTTCTATACTGTCAGTAGATAGCAGAGTACTGTATATGGAATAGTGAAATACTAAATCAATTGTATAGTTTAGTGTGTAGTATTTAATAATTATACAATCATTAATTATTATTATGCCAATTCATTACATAGGCAAATGAGCTTTCTATCTGACTCTAAGCCACTGCCCTGGAATTGAAAGGCCAGATGGCAGCAACATTGTGTGTCCAATGACTTAAGGCAACAAAATCAATATTGTGGACCTTCCATCTTGTAGGTCTCTGTAACAGAATGGCTCTTTGCCCCCTGCCCCAAATCCCTGAGGCCATGATTCCAAGAAATGCATTGCTTTGCTCTCCAAACAGAGGCTTCCTTCCTTAGCTTCCAGTATAACTTAATGAATTAAAGGGCAACAGTCCTTTTGGGGTATGTCAAAATTTGCCTTTTAGACTCATTACAGTCCCCACACACACAAAATAACCCAGACTTACTCCCTCCTTCCACACTATGTTGGTGGGTCCTAATCAGCAGCTCATTTGTGTTTCCTTCCCTCCACATTTCAGGCACATTAGCCACCTTTTAAGATTTTAATCAGTACCCTCATAAATAGGGTTAGAAGGGTGTAGATCTACTTAGGATGCTACTGTAAAAATGCCACAGGACACTAATATTAAACCTTTATTTTTTTTGCTTTAAACAAATAAATAAAATATCCTATGAAGGGAAGTTGCCTTGTAACCTCACAAGCACTAATAAAAGTTATGGACAGCCAAGTTTTGCTATAATGTGGCAGAATATGATTTCTTGAAGCACAGCCCTGGATGGGTATAGATGTGTTTGTACAAAATGCAGTGAATGCATATCGACAGCAGCATGAGGTTAAAAAATAGGGTGCCAGCTCTGAGTTGGGAAATACCTGGAGATTTTTAGGGGCTGGAACCAGGGCAGGGTGAGGTTTGGGGAGGGGAGGGACCTCGGTAGGGTATAATGCTATAGAGTCTACCCTCCAAAGCAGCAATTTTCTCCCGAGGAACTGATCTCTGTCACCTGCAGATCAATTGTAATAGCAGATCTCCAGGTGCGACTTAGAGGTTGGCAACCCTAGTAAAAGCTATAAATTTTGGACGTACCCTAGTTAGGGCCTAGATCCTATCTCAGGCATTAACAATTGCTGGTGGATTTATGTAGAACACTTCATAATATCCATTCAAAAATATACTTATCTTGTTTAGTGGAATAACTAACACGGATTAATTTGGTATTAAGTTCATGAAGAGCTCCCCAATGTTGCGCCCGCCAGTTCTGCCTTTGGTGCCAGCAAAACTTTTCAGAAAGCAGATGAGGCCATTGTAAGGCAGGGCTTCTTATTCAAATGAAAGAGTTTTTCATAGGTGCAATAGCAGCTGCAGCCACAGGCACTGGATGATCAGGAGAACTGAATACCCAGGCTTGTGGTTCCATTCCCCTTCAAGCTTACCTTCTTTTATCCACCCCACCCCCCCAATTCTTTCTCCATCCCTCTCCTCATGCTTTCTTTCTTTTTATTTGCCTTCTGCAATTCTTTTGTAAAGTGAGGAGGCCCCGCCCCCCTTAGATAGCCATTTTTTGTTTGGCCTTGTTTCCTGTAGATGACATTGTTGGGTGGCCTTCACAAACTTCTCCCAAAATTCCAGTTGTACCTGTAGGCTGAAGACACGTTGGGGATCCCTAAGTTAGTGTATCTTGACTTTGGACCACCCTTCTTGTGTATTATCCATTTGACAGCTGAGTGCATGAAGATACTGCACTTAAGGATCTGTATATCCATATAAAGGCATACTAGAGATCCTGGATCAGGGCCTTTTATTATTATTTTTCCATATTCTTATTTCCCTAAACAGGCATCAGCTCATCTTAACTGGTGAGACTCCATTAAAGATTCCCCTTGGGAAATATAATCTTAATAGATTCATTAAGAAACAGAGACTCTTAGGAAAAGTGAGGTGTCAAAGACCCCCCCACACACACACACATTTAGCAAATATGTGAGATCAGTGATGTGAGTAAAAGCCTCTGATTCATGATCTGATATATCTTGGTATTTTTACTTTGATTTAAAATCAGCCATAGGAGAGGAAACAATACCTAGGGCTGCCAACTACAATTTAGGAAATTCCTGGAGATTTGGATGTGGAACTTGGGGAGGGCAGGGTTTGGGGAGAGGAGAGATCTCAGCTGGGTATAATGCCATAGAATCTACCCTCCAAAGCAGACATTTTCTCCAGGGGAACAGATATCTGTAGTCTGGAAATGAGTTGTAATTCTGCCCCCCCCCCCCATGGATGTTGGCAACTCTCATACACATGAGTCCATACACCCATATATAAAATGGGTACAGTGGTCCTATTTTTCCCAAAATCGATGCACAGAAAAGGGGAGATAAACATGCAATCCCCTGCTTTACTTCACTGTATTCTACTGTTTGGAACATTATTTCATATAGACTGATAGTGGGCTAGAAGTGAATTCTGAGATTAACAATGTATAGCAAGTCGAGTTGTCAGCTCTGGGTTGGAAAATTCCTGAAGATTTGGGGGTTAAGCCTGGGAAGGATGGAACTGGGAGAGGGGAAGGAGCTCAGCAGGGAAGTGATGCCGTACAGTCCACCCTCTGAAGCTGCCAATTCCTCCAGGGGAGCTGATCTCTGTATTGTGGAGACCAGTCGTAATTCCAGGAGAACTTCAGGTCCCACCTGGAGACTGACAACCCTAACAGCAAGGCAAGATGGTGGTGGAAGGCAATGTTGACCTTTCCTTGCCAAGGATGCTTGACCTTTGTTTTAAAAATGCCTTCCCCACTGAAAACAATGGGACTGAATACAAAATAATAATAAATGATATTGAATAGCCTTAACAGCAGTAAGAAACAAAGGGGGAGTAAAATGAACAATGTGCACTGAATTTAAAAAAAAAAAACCAGCAGTGCAAAACTAACAGTACAATCCTAAACAGAGTTATGCGGTGGCTCAAGTGGTTAAGACGCTGAACTGCAGGCTGTGGAAGGTCGGTAGTTCAGCAGTTCGAGACCCGAGTGTGCCGCATGACGGAGTGAGCTCCCGTCTCTAGTTCCAGCTCCTGCCAACCTAGCAGTTCGAAAGCAAGAAATTGCAAGTAGATAAATAGGTACCACTTTAGTGGGAAGGTAACAGCGTTCCGTGCGCCTTGGTGTTTAGTCATGCCGGCCACATGACCACGGAAACGTCTTTGGACAGTGCTGGCTCTTCGGCTTTGAAACGGAGATGAGCACCGCAACCCTAGAGTCAGATTCGACTGGCTTTCGAGCAAGGGAACCTTTACCTTTACTAATTCCATTTATTTCTATTGAATTGTAAGGGTGTAACTCTGCTTAGTACTGCATTATATAAGAACCTCTTAAATAAGTTTTTGTTTCTTATCTGTGTAGTATACTATTTTTGGTATTATAAAAATTCATGTTGTATATCTTCCTTTCAGGTTTAAAAACATTGTTAAAGATAATGAATTTCACAACAGGTTCAAGAGAGGAATGTCTGAAAATTCTCAAAAATGGCAATTTATTAGGTATTTCACCAGGAGGAGTTCGAGAAGCTTTGTTTAGTGACAACAACTACAGACTTCTATGGGGAAATCGTACAGGCTTTGCTCAGCTAGCTATTGATGCCAAAGTGGTGAGTCTTTGCATAAAGAAACATTCTTGCAGTACACATATTTTACTTTATTTTTTAATTTTACATCTACTGACAAAATGAAACTTTGCTCAAGACAAGGGCCACAACCTGAAGATCATCTTTCTTGAGGTAACCCATCCCTATTTTGGACCTCTTGGGTTGCAGCCCAGGAGCAAGGGAAAGGGCAAGGAGGGCACCAAAGGCGAGGGATTCTCTTACACCCTTAACAATACCCAGTTAACTTACGCACGTAGAATTTTTTGGAAAAAGGGAAATAAAATTGGCCACGACTTTATTGGCTACAGCTGTAATAAGCTTTTGGCACAGCATGGGATATCAGATCCCATTCATTGACTGAACCTCCTGCCAGTTGATGATCCCCTGACTGCCACAGCTGGCAAGAAAATCTTGGGATGACAGGTTGCTGCATCCCCAGTCGTGCCCCTGGGCTGGGTGTTCCTTCTCAGTGTGAGGGTAATCCCCAGGCATGCCCCCAGGCTGGGTGTTTCTCTTGACTCTCACACCAAGGTCCCTTAAGGGGATCCCCATACTCAGGAAAATTAGCATGCAGGCTGGCTTTCCTGAGAATGGATAGGGCCCCATGCTGATACCGCTAAGTGGAGACAAGAAAGAGACTAAATGAAACAAAACCTGCATGCAGACTCCACCCACTAACTACTACCAAACAAGGGGCGGGAGGGTGGACAAAAAAGCCCGATGTTGGAAAGAGGGTGAGCTGGGGTGGTGCAGTGCCCTAAGTAGCACCCTGGGTGCCCCCATCTCATCAGCTATCTCCAACTCCCTGATAGGTCTGGTGTTGGGCCAGGTGGGCCCCAATTTCCTGCACTCATTGCTGGTACACCCTCTCTGCCCCAGCAAGAGTCACCAAAACCTGCATGCAGACCCCACCTACTAACTACTACCAAACAAGGGGTGGGAGGGTGGACAAAAAAGCCTGATGTTGGAAAGAGGGTGAGCTGGGGTGGTGCAGTGCCCTAAGTAGCAGCCTGGGTGCCCCCATCTCATCAGCTATCTCCGACTCCCTGATAGGTCTGGTGTTGGGCCAGGTGGGCCCCAATTTCCTGCACTCATTGCTGGTACACCCTCTCTGCCCCAGCAAGAGTCACCGTGGCCACCCTCACCGTCACTGCCTCCCTCCTCCCCGCAGTGCCACAAACAGGACCTGCAGTGAGCCTGGGCCCTGACTTCCTTAAATAAACATCTTATGGTATAACATTGCATGAGGAAAATTGAACCTTTCCTAGAAATTAGCAGTGCAATCTTACAAATACTTTCATTAGACTAAGCCCCATTTAATTGATGTAAATAGGCTGGCTTAGGATGACTCTAAATTTCACATTAATCTTCCACGTGTGGCCCAACCATCCTGTTCCCCATCCCCAATGAAATCTGAAGCCAAGATCATGTGACTGATATGAGCAGTATATATTCAGATACACACACTTTCTTCTCGTGTTCTAGAAATCAGAAATGGCTGCTGATCCAAATCTGAAAGTCTCTGGCTGCATTTAAGGCATTCATTTGCCAATGGCTATAACCATAATAAATGTATAAAACTCAACGTTCTTCAATCATTTCTTCTATTTTTATGAATATGATCATAGCATACCCTCCATCTATAACCCTGCAATATTTGTGGCCCCAGTTCAGAAAAAGGGACCTATCAATATTCAACATCATTTATCAAACCAACTGTGCACAACACTAATTTCAGTTTGCAAACATTAGCCACTAAATTCTATGTCAAATTTAGGAAGAAACAGAACACATAACCAAAAACCGAACACTAAAGAACTAAGAACCCTAGTCAGAAGATCAACTTGAGAACATGCAGCATAAGGACAAGAGAAGAAGGATCAAGAGAACATGAGAGATGATGTAAACTCTTGGGAAAATATTGATGGAGAATGACGTGTGTTCTTTGGGCTCATAAGAGGAGGAGTACTTTGGAGAAGGAGGGGTAGCAAGGACTCTGAGATAAGCTATGTACCGGTTGTTCAGAGGCATCTCTGCAATCTCCAAGATTCTCACCAATCCAAGTTAGAGTGGTTCACAGAAGAACATGGCCTGCTCACCCACTGGGGGAGGTATATGTACTGCCAGGACCATTGTGGACAGAAGTACTACAGCTGGTGCATGATTCTAGACTGGGCACTTCAGTCATCGCAAAACAACATATCTGCTAACCTGAGAATTCTGGTGGCTCTTTCAATCTGTTGCAGCCTGGTACTTGGTCTCCTGTGAAGTCTGTAGGCAAGCCAAAGACCTTCCCAGCAAACCCTCTGGACTATTACAACCAGGGCTATTTTTGGGCAGGAATGCACAGGAACGGCATTCCGGCTGGCTTCAGAGTTTGCCATGCCCACTGCAGCCAAAACCTCTGTGTGCATGGCTACAGAGGGAAGGTGTGGAGAGCGACCCCCCCATAACTCCAAGGCGGGTGGGCCAGCCCCCCCCGGAAGGATCAGGGAAGCATTTAAATGCCACCCCATGCCTTCCCCAGCCTGTCCAAGGGCCAGCTTGCACAAGCACCCCGCACTCGTGGGGCACCCAGGCAATCCAAGGGAAGGTATGGGATGTGGCCTAATATGCTAATGAGCTGTGCTGTCAGGGTTGTGGCCTAATATGCTAATGAGTTTCTGCTGTTGGGTGTGGCCTATTATGCTAGTGAGCTGTGCTGCCAGGGGTACGGCCTAATATGCTAATGAGTTTCTGCTGTTGGGTGTGGCCTATTATGCTAATGAGTTCCTGCTGGGCTTTTTCTAAAATAGCCCTGATTACAACCATTATCCACTCCCACAGGACCCTAGAAGACTATATCCATGGATTTCATCATCGATTTGCAGCAACTACATCCATGGATTTCATCATCGATTTGCAGCACTCTGAAGGACACATATGTATCCTTGTAGTGGTGGACCTGTTCATGAAAATGGACCACTTCATTTCCTGTCCTAGACTCCCCACAGCTCAGGACACCACGCAGCTATACATCTAACACTTCTTCAGTCTCCACAGAATACCAGATAATTTAATCACAGATCAAGGGGTCCAACTTACCTTGCAATTTTGGCAGACCTTGCATTCTCAGCACCCAAGTCTATTTATCCTCTGCCTACCACCCCCAATCCGATGGACAGACTGAATGCACCAACACAACCCTGGAACAGTGTCTTAAATGCCACACCAACCATCAGCAGGACAGTTGGGTAGCCTTACTTCCTCTGGCTGAGTTCGTCTATATCAATGGGGTGTGCTCATCCACTCAGTGAACACCTTTCATAGCAAACTATGGCTATATCACCCTGCACTACACCTCCTTCTGGTGTCCCTGCAACTGATGATTGTATACAAGAACCAATCCATGTAGAAGCTGCTACAAGAGCAACTTCAGAAATCCAAGGAAGCTTACAAAGAGGCTTGCTGATTGCAAAAGCCAACCAGATAAACCTCTGAGTGTGGGAGATTGAGTGTGATTATCCACCCAACATATTCACAGCCAGAGGCCTTCCTGCAAACTGAACGCCAGGTTTATTGGCCCATTTTTAATCATGGATCAAATTAATCCAGTAGTTTATTGCTTGCAACTGTAACCAAAGCTCCTGATACATCCTGTGTTCCACCGGTCTCTTCTAGTCTCTGTCTTACCTCCAGATCTGCAAAGGCCTCAGCTGCCGTCTCCCCCACCAATAATTGTTAATGGACAAGAGGAATATGAGGTCACCCAGGTCATTGATTTCCATCAACATTGAGGTCAATTGCAATACTTGGTCTACTGGAAGGGATATGGCCCAGAAGACTGTTCCTGGGACCCACTCAGCAATCTTCATGCTCCAGACCTCATACGCCGGTTTCACTGCACATACCCCCAGATACCTAGTTTGCCAGTTTGGGGGGAGGGGCTGAGGTGGGATGGTGTCATGGGTCAGCCAGAGCTCAGTGATAGCAAGGATTTCTCAGGAGAAGAGGAGCCCTGTGTAGCCAGCTTTGAATCAGCAGAAGCCAGCAAGCAGGAAAATGAGTTGCAGGCTTGTCAGGGCTCACAGCTAACAGCTGGTGCAGAGCCACCAACACTCTCCAGTCCTGATTCAACAGGTGAAACATAGTTGGTCATGTCGAGCCCTCCAGTATCACCCACACCCTTATAGCACCACAGACAGAGGCTAAGAATGGAATTACAGGAGAGACAATAAAGTGCCCAGCTCCTGGCCTGACACCAGCTAATCAGCAGAAGCCAGCAAGCAGGAAAATGAGTTGCAGGCTTGTCAGGGCTCACAGCTAACAGCTGGTGCAGAGCCGTTAACACAGGTGAAACATAGTTGGTCATGTTGAGCCCTCCAGTATCACCCACACCCTTATAGCACCACAGACAGAGGCTAAGAATGGAATTACAGGAGAGACAATAAAGTGCCCAGCTCCTGGCCTGACACCAGCTGCTTGCTGATAGCAAAGATGGATAGCTGCAGGATTACTCCTGAGCAGCTGGCTGCAAGCATGAACCTTCAAGCATATGGCTATAAAAACCAGTAAAGCGAGGCTATAGGTATGGAAGTAACAAGGTGAAATCCCTCCAACATTGTGACCACTGCATCAGAGCCTGCCTTGTTTCTGTGACTCTTTGAACTGTTCCCTGACTCTGCCTTCATCTTGCCCTTGAACCTGCCCATGGATAACTTTTGGACTTCCAGACCTTGCTGTACAGACTGACCCTTGGACCAGATTACTGACAGCTCTTGACCCTGTGCTTTGATCCTGGTATGGACCTTGACTATGCTGTTTGAGTTGGTGCCCTTGCCTTACTCATTCCATGCTCTGATGGCACAGCCCAAGCTGGCCCTGGCCCAGCTCCTGACAAACTTATTTCACATTACAGCCAACCAGCAGCCCTGGTGGGCCAACAAACAGGGCATAAAGGCTCTTGCTCTGATGCTGCCTTCTGTCACTGATCTTCAGAAGTTTGCTGGCTCTTAATATGGAGG